TATTTTTTGCAGTCGCCGCTCCCGCAGTCCCGGTTCAGGCGGGCGGGGGGGGGGGGGGTGGGGGGGGGGGGGGGGGGGGGGGGGGGGGCAATAATTTATTAACTTATTTAAGAATGATCCTTTATTGTTCATGTAAACTGAAGTGCGGAAATACACATTTTAAATGTAGATATGATCATCACATCTGCCATTCACGGGTTAAGATGAGCTCAACAAACTGGGCCACCCCCAATATAAGGGTGTTGATAGCTAACTTGATAGAGCACTGACGCGCTAATGCAGAGACCATGGGTTCGAATCCAGCTAAAGACCCGAAATATTTAATTATATCGAGTTAATTTGCAATTGTATCTTCGTTTCAAAAAATTCGGTGGATGTTTGTCCAAATAGATTACCCCTCCTTCACCCTTTTATTTGTTAAATTGGCATAAGAGAATGAGTTTGGATCGTTAAAGTGATTTATTTGTAGTACTTGCACATTTCAAAACGGTTTGTATTTTAGTAACACTGTTAAAAATGTCTCCTGTGAAAATACTAAGGCCTTCAAATAGTCCAATAAGGTTGACGAAGGCAGAGTATGGTTTCGACTTCTTGATACCGGAACACCTTTTAGATCATTCTTGGAAAGCTAACTATTGTATTGTAGGACTTCTGCAGTTTAATTTGGTACTTCTCCTTTTCCTCAAAGATCGAATATTAATTTGTTCGTAAGGTTTTCAGTTAGGTCAACTTTTAGCGTCGATTTTCCCCCCGATCTTCATTCCACCAAAATATTCTAATTGCCCTTACTTAGATTGTGTTATCGTATATCATCAATGCATCGAGAATCAATGGCCGCTATTAGAAATTACAACCTCCACTTCCACTTTCAGTTATATCTATCTGGTTTGATAATCAAAAAGGCGTTCACTTGCAAAACTACGGTAATTTCAATTGACGCCCGGTTGACAGAATTAACATTCAGGCAAACTCGCCCAATTTTCATTTATTAATTTATTAATTTATTTCATGTCGCGTTTTTTCTACCTCGTACCTTGATTTTCCTCCACAATTTTCCCGTCTCCCTTTCGTATTATGTTCGTAGTTTGTCGGGGGTTACCTGCGCTGATGTGAGGGATGTCTCGTTGTGAGTGCTGGTCATCACTGCTTAAGGTTGAGGCGAGGGGCAAATTTCCGATTTAAAGAGTTGAAGGGTAAAAGGCCTGAGACCAGTTGCGCTACTGACTCGACTGCTGTTGCCTGTGAAATATCACAGCCAGGAATGATGCGAGTGAATAAGTATAATTTATGATGATGTTTAAACATTAACCTATTCATCATTAGGAAACAAAATAGTTTGCAATGAGAGGCTAATCTATGCAATGTTTGTTTTTTAAGGCGTCGACGATCAAGGTGGCAAGGGTGATCGAGGTGATCGTGGACGATCGCTCTCAGGTTGACTATGATGGCTTTTTTCACCACAGCTACTACCATTTTGGCGCCTTGGGGGACGTGATCGTGTTCCTCCTCTTCTTCAGACCCCCTCTATTGACCGTGAGGGGGGTGGCAAGGGTGATCGCGAAGGTAATCGTGGGCGGTCGCTCTCACGTTAACCATGACGGCTTTGTTCACCACAGCTGCTACCATCTCGGCGCCTCGGGGGACGTGACCGTGATCCTCCTCTTCTTCGGACCCCCTCTTTCGACCGTGAGGGGGGTGGCAAGAGTGATCGCGAAGGTGATCGTGGGCGGTCGCTCTCGCGTTGACTATGACGGCTTTGTTCACCACAGCTGCTGCCATTTCGGCGCCTTTGGGGACGTGACCGTGATCCTCCTCTTCTTCGGACCCCCTCTTTCGACCGTGAGGGGGGTTGCAAGAGTGATCGCGAAGGTGATCGTGGGTGGTCGCTCTCGCGTTGACTATGACGGCTTTTTTCACCACGGCTGCTGCCATTTCGGCGCCTGGGGGGACGTGACCGTGATCCTCCTCTTCTTTGGACCCCCTCTGTCGACCGTGAGGGGTTTAGCAAGGGTCATTGCGAAGGTGATCGTGGGCGGTCGATCTCGCGTTGACTATGACGGCTTTGTTGACCACGGCTGCTGCCATTTCGACGCCTGGGGGGACGTGACCGTGATCCTGCTCTTCTTCGGACTTCCTCTGTCGACCGTGAGGGGGGTGGCAAGGGTGATCGCGAAGGTGATCGTTGGCGGTCGATCTCACGTTGACTGTGACGGCTTTGTTCACCACGGCTGCCGAAGATCTTGGACGCCTCTTCTCCCAATATTGCCGCGTTACCGATGTGCATATTCCTTTGGACCACTACACAGGAGAACCCCGAGACTTTGCTTATGTACAATATCCTTTTTTCTTTCTCAAGAGCCTTATTTTGTCTTTGGTTACTTTTAGTCTGAGTTTGTAAAGGTTTGGCACTAAAATGACTTTCTTGTCCTTTGATAACCAGGGTAAAAGAGTCGGTAAAAGAGCTAAAGTAACAAGAAAAAAATCAGGCAAATCGATAAAGATTTTGAAGCTCAAGCTAGCCCAACGTGGAAACGAAAGTTCGTAAACACAAAGCTTCACTAAAAAGATAGGAATGCTCATAAAGGAAAGGCGTCGATTCAGCGAATGAGTTTAAAGATTTGAAGTGTGAAACTGCTTTCGTTTTACAGATTGGCTAAAAAAGTCCTCGGGGAATAGTCGAAAGTGCGAGTAATACAGTCATGATCACAGCAAAAGAAAAGGAAAGAATCAAGTGTGTAGAGATTAGTGGGATCGGTTTCTCAAAGATTAAAAGCATTATGTAAGTACTATATTATGGAAAATTCACCCTGCTTTATTGAGTCATTTAATTCGTGGTGAGCCTTAACTTTACATTTTTATTTATTTATTCAAATAAATAAAAAAGGTAAAATGGTGGTCAATTTCAAAAGCAGAAATGCTTAAATTGGAGGATTTATAACCTTATTGAAGCAACTTAAGAGTACTGTAAATTCTCTATTAAGCTTCCAAGGGGGCTTGTTTATTTCAAACACATTTGGGGAGGGGGGGGGGGGGTTTAAGGGGGACGGGGGTTTATTTAATTCAACAAAGACAATAGTATCAGTTTTCCATAAAGAACTAGCACAAGTACGATCAATTTTTGGTTTGAGGCAAATGTTTTTGAAACCATTTTTGAGGCAAACGAGTAGATAGAGATCACTGCTGCTGACCACCCAGTTATGATGATGTTTAAAAAATAAAAAGACGCGTAAAGAAAGGTTGTTTTGTAAGAAAACTAACTTTTCTTAATTTTTCTAAAAACTGCCAATTCTGCGTTTTTTCCCATATTCAGGCGCAGTTATCTCTGAAAATTGCTTGGTTACTCTAGTTTTCTCTGTGGATTTCAATAGCCCTTGGTATAATCAACTTATCTCATGAAGTCATTATCTGGGAGAAAATACTTCCCGTTAGTGGGCACCGTTGAGATTAGTCAGTAACTGTAACTTTATCACAGTTTAAATATAACCAGGCACACCAAACTGTTATACCTGTGATAAAAGTAGAGATTAAAATAGGCTTTTTCATAGACTATAATTAAAACAATTATTTTATCAGCATCATTCTCGGAGCAAAAGAAGAAACAAAATTGAAAGGTGACATTTCAACTTGCTTCAACATTGAGATATAATGGTGATACCGTCATCATTTCTGCAGTCTTTTATGACTGTAAATATAAAAAGATGTGAAGGTGTTTCCATAGAATTTCACCGAAAAAATTAGTTTTTTCAGGATATCAAAATCATTTTTCATTTAAAAGTGAGAGTGCTACCCACGCAAACTAAAAGGTTATTCTTGTAGATTGATAAGGTGATTGAATGTTTGGCAGTTTTGAAGATGTCCCAAAGAGGAAGTTTATAAATTAAACTCCTTAATTAGTAATACCTGAATGAGTTGATAAAGCAGGGGCATCAACCATCAAAAGAGATTGTAAGCAGGGTAAGCAATTATCAAGCTTTTGTTTCAGGTAAAGCTTGGTCGAAAAATAGTCAAGCCTTAACGTACCATACATTTGAAGATATACGTGGTGCCGAGGATGCCAATCACTATCTAAAGGGAGTGACGTTCCACAGAAAAGAAATTCAGGTTCAGTTTGCAGAGGGACAAAGAAAAAGTAAGGCATAAGAATAAAAACGTGCAGGTTGAAATATGACATGTGCCCTAACTATATCACCACACAAATTTTCTGGTGTTAAAGAATACGATTACTCAACATGAACCTTTTTCTTCCTCTTAGCACTAATAATAATTTATTAACTTATTTAAGAATGATCCTTTATTGTTCATGTAAATTGAACTGCGGAAATACACATTTTAAATGTAGATATGATCATCGCATCTGCCATTCACGGGTTAAGATGAGCTCAACAAACTGGGCTGCTCCCAATATAAGGGTGTTGATAGCTAACTTGATAGAGCACTGCCGCGCTAATGCAGGGACCATGGGTTCGAATCCAGCCGAAGACCCGAAATTTTTTTATCGGGTTAATTCGGCAATTATATCTTCGTTTCAAATAATTCGGTGGATGTTTGTCCAAATAGATCACCCCTCCTTCACCATTTTATTTGTTAAATTGGCATAAGAGAATGAGTTTGGGATCGTTAAAGTGATTTATTTGTAGTACTTGTACATTTGAAAACGGTTTGTATTTCAGTAACGCTGTTAAAAATGTCTCCTGTGAAAATACTAAGGCCTTCAACTAGTCCAATAAGGTTGACGAAGGCAGAATATAGTTTCGACTTCTTAATACCGGAACACCTTTTAGATCATTCTTGGAAAGCTAACTATTAGATTGTAGGACTTCTGCGTAAGAGGCTGATCTATGCAATGTTTGTTTTTTCAGCCGTCGACGATCAAGGTCACGTTCCCCCGCACCGTTGTGGTGAACAAAGTCGTGATAGTCAACGTGAGAGCGACCGCTCAAGATCACGTTCGCGATCACCCTTGCCACCCCCCTCACGGGCGACAAAGGGGGTCGAAAGAAGTGGAGGATCACGGCCACGTTCCCCCAGGCGCCCAAATGGCAGCAGCCGTGGTCAACAAAGCCGTCATAGTAAACGTGAGAACGACCGCCCACGATCACCTTCGCGATCACCCTTGCCACCCCCCTCACGGTCGACAGAGGGGGTCCGAAGAAGAGGAGGATCACGGTCACGTCCCCCGAGGCGCCGAAATGGCAGCAGCCGTGGTGAACAAAGCCGTCATAGTTAAAGTGAGAGCGACCGCCCACGATCACCTTCGCGATCACTCTTGCAACCCCCCTCACGGTCGAAAGAGGGGGTCCGAAGAAGAGGAGGATCACGGTCACGTCCCCCGAGGCGCCGAAATGGCAGCAGCTGCGGTGAACAAAGCCGTCATAGTCAACGTGAGAGCGACCGCCCACGATCACCTTCGCGATCACCCTTGCAACCCCCCTCACGGTCGAAAGAGGGGGTCCGAAGAAGAGGAGGATCACGGTCACGTCCCCCGAGGCGCCGAAATGGCAGCAGCTGCGGTGAACAAAGCCGTCATAGTCAACGTGAGAGCGACCGCCCACGATCACCTTCGCGATCACCCTTGCAACCCCCCTCACGGTCGACAGAGGGAACAAGAGGGGGATCACGGTCAAGCTCGTCTTTCCTCCACGGATACCATCTTCCCCTCAGTCACGTTCTGCAGCGTTTGCCATCCCTGCTGCTGAGCAGAGTGATAAAGAAGAAGAGCTGGCAATACATGTACAGAGCCGCTCAAGAAGCTAGAATTTAAACACTGTCAACTACTGTAGTAAAAACGATGAAAATAAAACAAATAATGAAACCAAGCTAAGGCTTATTTCACACATTATTCAGTCCTGAATAAGTTACTATGATTTGTGTACATCATAACAACGCTTATTCCAGCCTATTCATGTAACATTATCTTCCGTTAATCTCAACTTTTCTAGATTGAACAATTAGAATAATTGGAGGAATTAAATTGGCCAAGAGAGACTCGTATCTTCGGTGCGATCAAAGTAACTACTTCTTAAAACGATTTTCACTAAAGTCAAAGTCAAAATTATAATCAGCATAATAGGAACACTTAAAACCTATAGTGAAAATCAAAAATTGGAGTTTTAAAGGTTTCATTATTTGAAGCTCACCAAAACTGGAGTCAATTAAGGTTTCTATTACAACTCCCCTTTTGACAAAAAAAAAAGATTGTCAGAGTTACACTAGTTCTCCTACTTACAATTCCGACAATGTATATTAGATTGAAGCAAAGGAGTTGTAACAGCAGTAATGACCTAGGATGCTTTAGCTATATCAATGCTCAAGCTTCTGATTACAACTCTGATTCTGTCTACATTGCTAGTGCCAGCCTTTAACGACTTGACCTAATCTTTTTGAAGGCCGGTTTTCACTCGTGACAAAGTCAAGGTAATAATCAGAGTCGTAAGAGCACTTATCACCCAGTGAAAATCAAAAATCAGAGTCACAAGGGAAGTCATAACTAGAAACTTGATGGAATTGGAGTCATCACAACTTTCTATTCTTCAGATTCTGCTTATGATGTAGAAAACCAGATTAAGCAGGGATGGAAGGATAAACCACTTACCAGTCATTCTTGTTCCCATGCTTTATAGTTGTCACTAGAACGAAAGTGAAGGAGTCATAATTGGAGTAATTATACCCTGTTAGTGTTTTATCCAGATCAACACTCTACACTTTTGATTACAGTTCCGACTCTGTATCCTACTAGTAAACCAGCCTTTAATGACTTGGCAAACGTTTTAAACTATTTTTTACTCCACGGATATTATGTTTAAAAAATCTTGCGAAATCTTGGTCTATAAGGGTAAAAGAAAACTTCCATGAGACAAAAATTTCGACAATTTGGCTACACCTTGCGGAGCACAATGGGTAATAGCGGAGCCTCCGTGTAGGCGAAGCGCGCGCGAGCGTGGAGCTCCATACTTAAAAGAAAATGGTAAACTATCCGTCACCGTACGTCCGTACGGACTCTCCGGGTAGGGGTAAGTAGAAACGAATTCCTCCCCCTCTCCCCTAGAGAGTTTTGTCCCCTGTTGTTTCAAAAGGCTTTAGCAATGACTGACAAATCTCGTTCTATCTACTGAGCCAATGTTTGGGTGGATTTTAGCGGCCGGTAATTTGACTTTTGAGGAGGTTATGGGTGATTTAAGAAAAAATATCCTGTAGACTGATTTCGAGGGGAAAATGATTGCACGAATATACCTTGGAGAAATGATATCCTGCAATGGAAAAAATTTCCCTCATGACGTATATAATGCTGAAAAAACTTCTTACACCGTTATATGTCAGGGAAAAAAATTTTAACTTCAAACGTTTGGGAAAAAATTCTTGCCTAAATAAATCACCCATCCCCCCTCCCCCACAACAGTCAAATGGGCAGCCACATAGGGGGTGGGGAAAAATCCGGAATTTGACACCTTAGTAGATGTCATCCGTCAAGAAAATGGCTGGCGCGGGTTCATCATGTGCTGGTTTTCTGTCTTCTGTTGGCTGCAAATTCGATGCCCCATACATAAATCTTTCTACGAATGTATGCCTGGTGTCCGCCACTGACGTCATGGAGCATTTTGCGTTTCCAGGCAACAAAGACTTTGCCGCCGATGACCAAGGCGCATTTCATGTATTATTCATGAAAGGCTTATTGTGTTTATTCATCGTCTGTGAAACAATGTTTACCATCGGTAAATCACGAACAATTTCCAATGCAAATGACACACAAGCACAACAAGTGACTCCAAATCCTCGCAGAGGGAGATTTTCCACCGAAATCCTCTGGAGCGAGAACACCGACTTGAAATTCAACGCGAGCAACGAAGAAGAAGACGGCAGCAACAAACAGAGGAACAGAAAGAACATCACTCAATGAATTTCGAATATTAAAGTAATTTTAAGAGCAATTGAAGACAAAACAGTGAAATCCACTCAGCCTTCGCTTGTTCTCATTGGCCTCCATGGCTTCCTGATCTTTTCAAACCGTATGGCGCATGCGTGAAGCGTGGAAGCGGGAAACATATTTTCGGTCTCAGTCTTTTTCGTCCGAGTCGGCAGTCAGATACCTCCACGTCGGGCGAAGAAAGATTCAAATATCCCCTCCCCTGGGAGAACAAGATCAGTCAAATGCGCTACCCCAGGGCCAACAAAGACAATCAAATCCCCACCCCATGCCTCCCCCCCCCCCCCCCCCGCCGGCTTAACATTGATAGGTGCATTAGTTGGGCTTCTGTCCTTTAAATGCGATCTATGACCCTCAGCGACTTTTGGTTGAGGACTTCTTCTTGCTGGTTATAAAACCTCCAGGAACTTACTTTAATAATGAATTGCTGCCTTCTTGCAGACTCTTCTTTCCCCGCTAATAGCGTTCTTTTGTGTGCTCCGCTGGATCCAATTCGTTCTGACAAACACTGCATTGAAAGTTGCGAAGAGCCGCTACATTTCTTAATACACAATGTACTTTTCTAGCCCGATTCCTTCAGCAACAACTTGAATAGAATTATGCTGGATTTTATGAAACTCGGCACGCGTCGTTGCAACCTTCAAGGAAGATTCCTTCACTTTAGATTTCCTGTTTTAGGAAAACAAAAGAAAAAAAGTGCGAGAAATACGACTAGAATACTAGACTACGAGTAGTCCCCCATTTTTCCTCAGGAATAGTAGAGCGAGCGAAACGCGAGCGGGCGTGAAAATCACCCCACGAGAGAAAGGCGCTCTAATATCCCTGAGGAAAAATGGGGGACTACTTGTAGTCTACTAGAATACGTGCATCGCGGCCAGACTTATTTGACAGCTAGTCATTCACAGTTGCCTTATTTTTGTTATTTTTTCCATTAGCAGGCGGGAAGGCGAAATTTGCTTGCAGGAGTTCCCCTCCTCCCTCCTCCCTCGCGCGTGCTCTCGCGCCCGAATTCTCTTCCATGTGGCCTAGTGGTAAAGATATGGGCCGGCGTGTCGAAGGTCTCAAGTTCGAATCCCGGCAGAACTTATTTCCCTTCGCTTCTTTTCTTTTTTTTCTTTTTCTTTTCAGTTATTGCAGTTTTTTTTGTTTCTTTATATTGCTTAAAATTTTTAGATTTACAAATTTTCTTCTCTATTGCCTTATCTTGCCGTTTCCCCGAACAACAGGGGCCTGGAGCTGACCCAGCAGGGGTAGTACTTCATGTCAAGCCATCATTATAGTGTCTATAGTATTGAGGTGTGTTTTCTTTCAGTAGTGGATGTGAGCAAAGGAGTAAAGAGTGTGTTTTTTGCTATAAACAAGGGTACATTCAATAGCTGTCTTCTTTAGATCAGCAGCCGTGTCTCTGTAACGGGTAAGTTTGATACGGAATACGTTCTGAGCACACTCAAACGCGCTGCAGAGTCACTAAAAAAGCATTCTTTAGTAGCTTTAGTTTTATGTCGCTGCAAAAGTTTCAGTCTAAAAGCGTGTGTACCTAAGTGTGATTTCGATATTTTAGAACTCAGAATCATGTTACTCTGAGTGTTAGTTAGCAGGCCAGTGCACTTGTCATCACAAACAGTTGGTCAGCTGAATAAGTAGAGAGAGTAACAAAGAAAAAACACAAAAAATTACCACGACAATTTATTTGCGAAGATATAAAACACGAGGAAAGTTTAAAGAGCTACTAAACCTAAGGATTAATGGACATAATGAACATATTTTGTCAGTCCCTTGGCGTGACCTCTCACGCGAAAACGTTACTTACGGTTTGCTGTTTTTGGACTGATTTGGTATCCGTTCAAGAAAATTGTCATCCGTTCAAACGACTTAGGCTATCCGTTTGAAAAAGGTTGTCATCAGTTCGAACGACTCGGGCCATCCGTTTGAAAAAAGTTGTCATCCGTTCGAACGGCTTGGGATATCCGTTTGAAAAATTTGTTATCCGTTCGAACGGCTCGGGCTATCCGTTCAGAAAAGAATTTGTCGACCGTTCGAGCGACTGAACGTATCTGTTCAAAGGTAAATTTTAGCCGAGTTTCCATCCTAAAACCATTTCGTTGCTAGCCACTCGCGTCGAACGATGTGTTATTCTCCAGGTCACGTACGTTACGGGTTTTGTTTACAAACGTATCATATATGAATAGTTACGCATCTCTGCTCCTTTGTAGCCATCTTCGCTTTCAAATTATCAGTCGATTATCGACAGTATCGACATACGTTTTAGTCAATACTAAAGTTTTTTTTTTCCAACAAGTTTCCCGAAAATAATATTTTTTATCTTTACGCTTTTGTAGTTTATGAGCCAGCGGAACGAAACTTCATTTTCCTTGCATGTCGAGAACGAAAAACACGAAAAATAAAGTTTTTTTGGTTGCATTTCTTCTTCTCTAGACTGTTTCTCTATTACAAAGAAGTTACACGAGTCTTTTCCAGCACGTTAAACTTTGCGTGACAATTTATCGGCGAACCGCAATTTTACCGCAAACTCAAATATGCAAATTTGGTAGAACGAAATTCGATACTCACACTGTCTTATCGCCCGACGAGGTCCTGATCTCTTTAATTGTACTTCTCCAAGTGTTGCTTTCTTCTTGACGCAGTGCGAGAAAAGTACAGTTATGTTTGCTACGCGACCTTGCATTTTCTTTGCAGAATTGTAGAATTCAACAGAAATTACACGAAATGCATAAAATTTGTCTTTGACTTGAGCTCATAAGGAGTTCGCATAAGGAATTGGCTTATCTGTTATACAATAAATGAAACTCACAAAATTTGGCATCCTAGTGAACAAAACTACTTCTTTGTCCACTTCAATTAGAGATAGCAAAATTTCCAGGGGGTGTGCGAAAATTTTGGAAATTCCGGAGGGGAGGGGGGGGTAAACTTTAGGGGCGGGGGGGTCATACGGCAAATCCCTTCTGTGGGAGGGTATGGATATTTTCTGGAACCACACATTAGTTTCTCATACAAACACTGTAATTTCTCACGGGTTTGCCTACTCATCAAGATGACGTCGAAACCGTGACAAGGTCTATTGCAAGCCTGCCTATTCCCCCTGTCGGGCAATTGTTGGGCATTTGTTAATTTTTTAGGAAAAGATGCAAATGCTCTGTGGTGGGGCCAGGCAGTTCATAGAAAAACTCCATGGTGGGGCTTAAAAAAGTGTGCAAATTCCTAGCCTGTGTACAAACGTCTTCCCTCTCTCAGAAAAAATCGGGTGAAGAGATGTCTGTGAATTGCTGTCGTTAATTGTGTTGTGCTAAACATTTGCATAAATTATTTTCTTTTTGTTTTTTTCTCTGACAGTTAAAAAGGTGTTGACAAACAATGCGACTCTGGACTCTTTTAGAGCATGTACGCTGTTTTTTTTAATAAATTAGTACGTGGCAGCCATTCACAGACATCTCTTCTCCCGATTTTTTCTGAGGGAGGGGGGCACGTCTGTACGCAGGTTAGCAAATTCCCTACCCACCCAAATTCCATTTTCTTGTAATATTTAAGCTGCAAATGCCATATTTGTAGGAAATCTGTAACAATCTCATCAAAATGCGTAAAGCACCCTTCTCAAATAGCTCCTAGCCGCTAGTTATTATTATAAAAAAAGATAAATTAGAATTTGAATTATACCTTTCTTATTTTCAAAGGTATTTAAAATAATAGTAAATGATAATCAAACAACCAATGAGCTTAACATTTTACTCATCACGTCAGTGGAACTGTTCCATCAAAGTTTTAATTGTCACATTGATCACACAATTAACACAAAGTTTATATTAGCTTTCAAATTTCTCGCAGAGTTTTTCTAGGCCTTTCTGCTTACAAAGAATATGTCTTCCTTTAGACTCTTCAAATGATGCATTGATTGTTTTTCTTTCATGTGTGAACTGATCATGATGGCGAAGGCAGTTTTTTTAGAGGGATACAAAAAATACTGTGGGGCAGGGTGGTCAATGGAGCAAAAACCACATGAATCTTTTTAAAGCATATGTACTAAAAATATTCTTTATAGAAATATCTAAAGCAATCGAAATAGGCATATTTTTTAAGTGAAATAATATTTCACTTAAAAAATATTATTGAAAGGAACAATATTAACTGCTTCTAGAAGAATTGACAAATGCTCCACCCTTGTGCAGAGGTTTTCTGACAAACTCCCCACCACCAGACCAACAAGATAACAAAATTAATGCCCAATGAAATTTCATGCCCTAGGAGTGGGGTGGGGGGGATGGACATGCTTGGATTTACCGAAGCTTAATAATTAAGCTTTCTTTGAACAATTATCTCAGATTTAACTGTTGTAAAATTGCTCATTACATGTTAGATGACAAATTGAAGTTCATTTTCATTTAAGGACTTTGATACAAGGCATATGAATTTCAATGAAAGGTGTTAGTAAATGTAAAGCAATTTAAAAACCAAGTACATACATGTAGGTCGGTGTGATATATTCACCTCTCATTTTTAAGCTGTAGGAGGGGAGACCAGGTATAGGCATCAAATGCCCTACCCCAAGGACATCATAGTTGGTCAAAAGAAAACTAATTATGTACCCCTTATCCCTAACTACGTGGTAAAAGTAATATCTTCCCAGTCTACTCAGATGCCAATGTCTTTCAGAATTTCCTTTCTGAGTTCAGTCTGTCAGCACATTTTCTTGCATCCTGCTGGGAATGTTTTCCACTTATAAATTAAAAAGGCCAACAATTTTTTATCTGTTAACGTGCAAATTTCCTTGCTTTCCAACTCAAGCAAAACAGTCAATTATAAGAGTTAGACTTCCTGACACAACAAGAACGAGATAAAGTTGGAATGGATGGATTCACGAGTAGGAAAGAACCCTGGATATTAGCTCGAACAATAGATTGCTTGTTACTTTTAATTTTCATCATGTTCATCTCTCCTCCTCCTCCTTGCACATGTGTTTAATAAGATACCCTCAGATCCCTATGGAAACTATGGCTGCCATCGATCTTTGGTTATCAACCCTCCCCCCTGCTTATTCAACTGGAGTGGTAACCAGGTCTCTCTCAATTTCCATTCCAAATCCCTGGTCCCCACCCCAGCAATTGGCGATAATCAAAAGTGGTCACCACGACAGGCTGACTTGCTTTATGTCAAATCCACAAGATGTGCCCGGCTTTACCCCATCCAGACAGAGAGCATAGAAAGAATGTTTATTTTTTTAAATTTTTTTTATAACCGTACTGACAATACCCTATTTTACTCAATGGTAAAGCTAAGAAAACTTAATTGCACTTGCTAATCTGTGATTACTTAAATACCTACTACATGTAATTACGTTAAATGATGCAAATCACTGATCCTCCACCTCGGTTGTTTACAAAGTTGACCAATTGGATTACAGGAAAATATCAATACATTCAAGAAAGTTAGTTGTCAAATATAATTACGGGTACCATAAAACGAAATAAACAACATGGCTCAAAATCAGCCAATTACAACCTAGAGAAGTGACCTTTTGAAGCTGCTGAAGAAAGCATGTGTTTCCTGAGAGGTCTGTTACAGTGTGTGATGGAGGCAAAAAACATAAACGATAGTTGCATTTTTGACTTGCAGTGGCATGTTATTACAATGTGTGGCAATAGTAGCGAAGAAATTGCGGGTAGATGATTTTCCTGTAATCTGATTGGTCAACTTTGTCTGAAGTGGCCCTGATTGCAGGGAAGTGTTTTAGTAACACTGTAAGGTTATGTGGATAATTTCCAAAAAAGTGAAATGAATAATTCGTGGAATTGACAACAAGTACAAAATTTCTTTATTCAAGGCTCCAAAAGATTTCTGTAGAAAAGGTAACTCTCTAGGAAGCTTTTACGTTTTAAATCATTCCTGTCCTCGGCAACCAGAAATAAATGTTTTGGGGCAGAAATAAAAGTAAAAATAGTGAAGGAAGCTCAAGAGGTGACAGTTGTATTTATTCTTATTAATTTACAAGATAATTCAAAGAAGTCGTGTTTGATTTGCCTAAATAGTTAATGAGATATAAATACCTCTTGCAAGTTGATGTTAACTTAGCTGTAACCTCCTGCAGGTATAGATGATACCAAGTAAATGGAATGCCTTTGAAAAAAAGGGAAACAGCAACTAAAAGGAGGCTTCAGTAGATAAATAAAAAAAGGTTTATTTTTAAACGAAAGTATTACATGTAGCTAATTCAGGTAAATTACCTATCACACATCTTGGTGGGTAGATTAATAACAAACGTTTTAAGAAAGGAGGACTTGGAGGATGTCACTAACAAAAACTGTTTGCCAAACCTTGTCCTTAATGTTAATTGATGGTCTCACTCTGCTGTGTACAATTGACATCATTGGTACCAATGTTGTGAAATTTTTGGACCTTTCCACACTAGCAGACAAACTTAGAATTGTCTTTGAAACATCTAAGCTGAAAATTGCATGGTGACAATTTTGTTTTTGAAAAATTGATTCGCACTGAAAACTATTTACTATTAACAGCCCGTTGCATCTGTCAACTTAATGGAAAGAATAATGGCTTTACAACAAATGATTGATATTAAGAAAAAGTCATGTTTTCATTTTGTCCAGTAATTAACCCGGGACAAATTTTGTCTGTGTTTGCCTTTAAAGATTGTCCCTTCTGGGGCAAAATTTGTAAAATCGCACGTGACAAACTATCTGCATTTGTAAAGCATTGGTGATGACAGAAAATTTGTCTAAGACAGCTTTTTTGCCAGTGCAGATAGGCCCTTGGTCAATGCCAGCTGGTTGTGAAGAGTTGGGCTGGGAACTCGAGCCAAAGAGAAAAGTAATAATGATGAATAATGTTGTCTTGGAAAGACATTAAATTTACATGTATGTTACAGGTCAAATTTATATTTAGGTTATTTGTTTTAACCTAGTTTATTTTTTTAAACCTAGTTTATTTTTAAAATTTTGTTTAAAATAGTTTATTTTTAAACCTAACTGCTAGTGATTTTTCAAATGTCAATGTTTTTCGAAATAAAATTTTAGGTCAAGTCTTTATTTAAAACTTTTACCTTTCGTGTAAAGTTAGGGCTTTTGTACACATTTGAATGGCTATAGAGTTAAGCACTTGGGTGAGTGATTTGGGTTAAGCACTTGTTTCACATATAATTTTTTGGTTAGCTTTCATGTAAGGTTAGGGTTACTGCACATACTTTAGTGATTAATAGGAATAAGTACTTATTTCGGAACACAGCATGCATCCTGGACAATAGCAAAAGTGCTCTGTGTGGGAATTAGGTTTATCGACAGTTCTTTCTCAAAGACATTTGGAAATTGCACTGGAATATAGACCACGTAGTTTGTAGTTAACATCTCTCCTTACAGTAAGCATTTGTTCAAGGTAGTCTGTGGACACCAGGAATTTTCACAAATACAGCTAGTTTTTAGTCATTTATTTTTTCTTGAATTTTGCATAGTAATTATATGTTAGTACATTACTGTTCTGCAACCTTTCTGCATGCAGCAGAAAATGTTATTTCTGTACTAACGTCCAGCTGAATGTTTGTTGCTGTACATTTATTTAACCTGTTTGTTGAAATATAAGTTTTCAGCCTTCCAAACTTGGTCACGATTTTGGCATAGTCATTTTCAACTTCAGTTATTTCAAGCCAATTATAACATTTGGATGAAGGGGTGAAATTTTGTCCACTGAATCAATTTTAATTGACACATATTCATCAACGTGAAAATTAGGACCTCTTTTTCTACTCTCTTTCATTTTGCTGTTATAGTTCAACTGTCTCTCATTTATATCTGTTTTGAGTTTCTTCATCTGAGTGTCATTCTGACCTGTAACATGTACATTGTTTCATTCATTGTCTCATGTTGCAGAATTTTGGAGCTGAGTTATATAAGTTCAGAAAAAGGAAAATAAAATTGTTGTCCTGTGTTCACGTCCTCCATAAAATGTAAATTAGGAATTTTCATGTTGTAGTTGCCTGCTATGGCAGCAAAGAAATGTGCAAAAAAAAGCATGATGCACATGCAAAGTTGTTGCTAATCTAAATCATGTGTTCTGGCCATTCTTGTTTTTGTCACCATCGTTGTTGCTTAAGCTGCCTATTAGCCTGCGAATACAGACTTTTTACTGGAAATCTGTGGATAAGTTCAGATTCTAGTTAAAGAGTGTAATTCTTTCCTTGTGACCTACTTTTTGTACCCACTGCAACTCCATGCTGTGTGCGGTAATTAGAAGGGTGGGGTTGAGTTAAAAAAATCTTGATCTTGGCATTAATCATATTGTTAATTTTATCTATGTTTGAATGTCTGTTTCTAGGCTTTCTTAGTTACAAGGGACAGGAGCTCTTGAATTTAAAAAATGGAACATTCTCATGAGAAACTGAAAGCTTGTATGGAGTATGATGCTCAAGGAGAAGCAGTTTTAGATCTACGGAGGAAAAGACTCTCCAGGTTACCTGATGCAGTCACTGAACTGAGTGAACTGGGAGTACTTCTGCTGAATGAAAATAACCTGACAGAATTACCAACAAGTATTTGCAAGTTAAAAAATCTTAAAATGCTCAACTTGGATCATAATCACTTAACGCAGTTACCTGATGAGATTGGTGACCTGAAAAAGCTGGTGGAGCTGATTGTGAGTAACAACCAGTTGTCTGGTTTACCTATGAGTATACAGAATCTCAACAAGCTTGAATTGCTCTACCTGCATAAGAACCGATTAAACAAGTTGCCTGATGAGATAGGTGACCTGAAGGAGCTAAGGCTACTGAGTGTGTACATGAATCAGTTGGTTGGTTTACCTACCAGTATACTAAAGCTAAACAAGCTGGAAAGGCTCTACATAGATGATAACAAATTAACAGCATTACCCATTGAGATTGGTGACTTAAAGGAGCTAAGGGAGCTGAGTGTGAGCAACAACCAGTTGGTTGGTTTACCTACCCATATACAGAAGCTGAGCAAGCTAAAGGGGCTGAATTTAAATTATAACAGATTAACAACATTAATACCCGAGATTGGTGACCTAAAGGAGTTGAGGACATTGAATGTGAAAAAAAACCAGTTAAGTTGTTTACCGAGCAGTATTCTGAGGCTGAAGAAGCTTGAGGGGTTGAATGTGGCTGGAAACAGATTAACTGAGTTAGGGTCTGCAGCTGAGCTTAATGACCTGGCCTATAATCTGAATAGACTAAAGGTCAGTGGTAATCCTTTAACTGTTGATGCAATAAGAATTATTCTGGAATCAATGAATAAACGAAAAAAGTACACTGATATTATGGGTGAGTGCAGACTTATTTCCACTAAATTATTATTAAATTTTTAAAAATATTTTTAACGAGTTATATTTTAGAGTAACTTGCTTGTTTCTTATAGCCAATAAGTAATTCTACCAAGTACTCAATATTAATGCAAAACTGTTAAGTGACCTTAATTCTATTTGGAAGTAGACTGTCCAGGGCTGAGTGGGCCCCAGTACCCCACATGTAGTTTGCGGTAGATAAGTATGACCCAGATACACGTGTAATCAATGTTTCCTTACAACAATAATAATTATTATTAAAAACTGAATCATTGGGTAATGCAATTCTACAGCTCTGATTGCCTTAGCCATCATGGTATATGAGCCATTATACCATGCTCTCTAAATAGCTGTACGCATCTGCTCTAGGCTTGCATGATAAATTCTGCAAGAAGAATTTCGAGCAAAATAACAATTTGTGGGGGAACATTCTGCTGGCAGAAAAAGGCATTTTCGAGCAGAATTTGAGCACAATAAGGGAAAATCAGCGGTACTAATGATATGCATAAGAGTCGTAAGAAAAATTTAAACCTAAATGAAAAACAAATGGAAAGTACCTTGTGATTAATTTGATTATTTAATACCTACAACACACTCACATTAAAAGTAAGATGAATTACATTTTTGCTATGCATAGTGAATATCTTTTTTTAAGGGTTAGGCCCAGGCTTCCTTCTATCTTTGTGAGACTGAATAATGGTGTCCAAGCAGAACTTTGAGCACTGAGAATAAACTATTTTTACAAGCACTGCCGGCAGGCAGAATAAGCCATTTTACGAGCAGAATTTATCCATGCCTAGTCAAAATTAAAAACAAGCGGAGTAATTGTTAATTATTTCATCTTATATATTTTTTTTTGTTATGGTGATCAGCTGTTGAGTTCTGAGACACTACAAACTTTTATTTGAAGGTTGATAGGGTTTGATTTTGTACACCTCTTCCATGTTATAATGACACAGTGGCATAAGTTGCATAATTGTCTGTGTGTAAGCTACAACCTATAGCCCATTTTACAGTTGTGAGCTTGGTGTCCTAGCCTTTGAGAGAACGTGAGGCTGAGGTTGACCTTGTTTTGATACAAACCTCCTTCCTTTTATAATGTAAATTTTGCTTTAAATTACTAGTTTGCATGACAACAACATGATTTACATAATAAAGCAAGAAGACTCCAGCCTCGTTTCCAACTGTCACTGTAAAATGGGCAATTTCAAAAAGCTTTGAGACAGTGTAACTTTCTAAGCCAAAAATGGTGTTTATCAGACTTCATTCGATTCCTGCCCCCTCCCCTGTCATTACAGTTGTAAGGATATCGTAATCGACTCCTGCAGTTACCCTGATAACTTACAGTGGTTGTGTATTCTGCTAATTAAAGGTCAGCAATGATTGGGTAGAAAGAATTAAACATTATTTTCATTATTTTTATCATTTAAGTCCCTACAGAAATTGAGGCACGAGGAGAAAGAGCACAACTTGCTTATCAAAGCGCTCTAAGAGATGGAGCTGTTAATGTTTACCGTGGTCGAGTATTGCTGATTGGTCAGGATCGGGCAGGAAAAACAAGTTTGAAGAAGTCTCTCATTGGTGTACCATTTAATCCAAAAGAAAAAAGTACTGAAGGAATTGAAGTGGATCCTTCAATATTTCAAGTGGATGTTGATGAATTTAAGGATTGGCAACCTATTGATGAGAGTAAACATGGTTTGCTGGGATGCTCTAAAGATGTGGCACAGATGATTGTGGAAAAGCTGTGTGTTCCAGTTAGTCGTAATTGGATTCAGGAGGAGAATGAAGGTGAATTAAAATATGGCAGCAACTGTACAAATGATGGTCACAAGAATGGGGAACAGAATATTGCTGATCCTGCGGGGGAAAAGAAAGAAGATGCCTTTGTGAACCAGGTTTGGGCCAAGTCAAATCCTCATATTCACCAGTATCATCTTATTTATTACTAGGACAACTGTAAGTTAGGAGTTTCAATTTGAAAGTAAGTGTTGGCGTCAGAGCTTATGGAGAATACAGTTTGAAAATATGTGGTTAGTAGAGAATATTAAAAAAAGATTTCAATTCAAGCAGGACAGCCATCGATGATGGGTGCCCGACAAATCTCAAACACGAGTGTCCAAGATCATGGTTATGTAATATGAGTCTTCAAAAATACTTTTTCACAATTATGATACCTCTTATTTCACAAAATGACATGAAACGATCAGCTTTACGATGTTCTTCTATCATGAAGTACAACCAAAACAAGTGTCAGAATTTGCAGCCCCCCTAAACTGGCCAATCGCAGTATATACGTACCAACTGCTCAGGGTCTGGACAATCTGCGAGCCATGCAAGCCATGGGAAAAAATAGAGTTTTATGAAATTGTAAATGTATGAAAGATGTTACCTGCTTAGCTCCCTGTAAGGGCATGTGAGGTTTTGCCGTTGGACTATTTGCAGAATTACGTAGTGTTGGTCGACTTTCATTGATAAGGGTTAAGCACTCGCTCTACGCCTTCTAGGGGTAAACACTCATTTACAACGGTTAGCTTTCGGTGTTTTTTTTTCTTGTTACTGCTTTTTGGATTTTTTTGAATTTTTCTTTCGCATGGCTCGCTGACTCGCACTGTGTCCTAACTCCATTACTCATCTTGATGAAGTACATTGTATAAATTAGTAAATAAATTTAATTGCCAAGAATTCATAAAAATGAGCATGCAGTTAAATTCTTTTTTCTTTCTATTTTTGATACCAATTTTGCAGGTTCTCGATGCAAATGTAGACAGTGTTATTGGACTCGCATCAGCAGAGCCTGATCGTGAGTTATTGATTGATACTGCTTCACCTCCAGATGAAATCCAGGAGCAGGCCATTGAGTTGATAAAGTATGTGGAAGGTGGAGGTGTCAAAGAAGAATCTGTTTTCAGTGTTGAAATGTGGGATTTTGCTGGACAAGAGCTGTATTATGCATCTCATCCTGTATTTTTAACATCACGTGCGATATATATTTTGGTGTGCAACCTTAGCAAATCACTGCATGACACTGCCCAACCCTGTGTGAGACAAGGAAGTCATAATTTCATGTTGGACAACCCAAATGGGGAAACAAATATGGAGAATCTACTATCTTGGCTGTCCACAGTGCATAGCATAACACAGATGAGAGGAGAAACCTGTGACGATGCGGAAGGAAAGCTTCCTCATCTTCGGCCACCAGTGATCATTGTAGGCACCCATGCAGACAAACCATTTGAAGACATTGCAACAATGAAATCACAAATACAGAGGGCAATTGCTGGTAAGGACTATGAAGGACATGTGGTGCGGCCTATCTTTAGCATTGACAACACTGCAAGATCACTTCAAAGAAAGATCAAAAGGGTTTTCAGACAAGATAAACACATTGATCACATTCAAGCTCTACAGGACAGAATCATGGAAGTGCTAAAACAGGAGCCATACATGGGGGAGAGTATACCTGTGAGGTAAGTCATTATTGACTAGGGCCCAGTTCCTCCTCGAACGATGGTTAAGTTTAAACCAGGATTAAACCAAATTTTTAAATGCGGTTTTCTTGTCTAACAACATTCAAGCTTACCCTTTACTCTGAGATAGAGTAATAATGATACAAAATAATTATTAAAAGATAATTCTAGTCTTGAATGAGAATTTCCGTTGGAAGAATTTGGGATTTGAGGCCTTTGTTTCAGACCTAATGGGTTAATTCTGCCTTCAGTTGTAATGTTATTTTTAGGGTTTTCAGACTGGTTTGAAACTGTTGTGTCACTTTTTAATCTCGAAATTTTGCTTTCTGCACATGCCCGAGTTTATGAAGCTGATATTTTGCGTCTTGAATAGAAGGGCCCAAAGTTGTCGACCCATAAACAGCATTTTGGGTAGTTTTGGTTTGTTATAGTCAGAAAGTGACCGGAAAACGGCTTGACTAGCTTCAAACGGCATTTTCGGAGAAATGCCCAGGAGTGAAAGGGTCAAAGAAGTTACTATTAACTTTGGTGACTGAGACACTGTTCCTTTAATACAGAATTGACTGTGCAGTGTACTAAACAGTGACCTCTTAATGTACGACTATCTGGCGTCGAGTCAATGATGCGAAGTTTACCCTTCTGTTTTGGAATGTGTGCATGCTTTTGCACAAATAGTCAAAGCAGGTGCTTTTCTTAGTGACATGAATACTATTACGTGCTTCCTTTTTTATAAACTAGGTGGCTCAACTTTGAGAAGGTCATTGATGCTTTACAGTCCAAGGACGTTTGTCATTTAAATATAACGGAACTTCAAACCTATGCCAAAGATAAGTGCTTTGTTAATGACGAGGAAGAGTTCACTACCATGGTGAATTTTTATCATGACATGGGGATAATTATCAAGCACTGTAGCACAGTCATTCTGAGTGCCAAGTGGCTGATATACCTGTTCAGGCAGCTGATCACTATTCCACATTTTGATAAAATGGTAAGAAAAACGTTTATTGTATAAACACCAATGAAATACCAGGTGAGCTTTCACGCGAAAACATGATATCTTCATACGTGAAAATAACAAGTGAAGAGATCATCGTTGCTATGGCTACATAATAAATCGCTCCTTTCGCAGCAAAAAAAATATTCAAGTGAAATGGTTTGGTATTTTATTGGTTTTTATATAATAGATAGAACATTACATGGCCGCTTGGAGATACGAAATTTCTCTTTTCGTGTTCACACTCGAAGAGAAATTTCGTATCTCCGCGCGGTCATGTAATATTCAGGACTATTAGTTTCAACCTGATACTAGGCTTTCTCTACTGGAGAGATCGATGGAGGGTCAAAATGCTCTTGCTCCAACGCTGTGTTTTGCGCAAGTTTCTCGTTACTCATGAATTTCAGATTGCGTTCTGTGCATTCCATCCATCCTTAGTGGAAGTCCTAACGAATGCTGGCTACTTATGTGCCACGCACGCGTAAAAGCAACATGGAGATTGGGATTGCGGGCTCCTATGGTCGCCCACAACTAGCTCTCTGCTACCTGGATTCCTTTTTAAAGACTCTGTAATCACTCCTCATTTTATTATCTTTCAGGACCCTAAGGTTTCCAAGCACTGGGAGAAACTGAGAGAAAGCGGTGTCCTCAGCATGGAACTAGTTGAGCATGTGTTTTCCAAATTTCTTCTAAAGGGCGTTGTCAGAGATGACATTCTAGACTTGATGGAGCAGTTTGGCTTGATTGCAAAGTTCTCACCTGTTAAAACAGAGGAAAAGTATTTTGTACCATCTCAACTCAAAGTGCCACCTGATTCCCTCTGTGCCATGGTACCCTCGCACTCTGACCCCTGTCCTCTATATGTCTTCTTTGTTGCTGGTTTTGTGCCCCATGGCTTGTTTACACGGCTTGTTTCTCGACTTGTTCGTTGGTGTTCTGAGGCTGGTCCAACTCAGCCCCCTACCCTGTACCGAAATGGAGCATGGTTCGTCATTGGGACACGAACTGTCCATGATTTAGTTCTTTTCTGCAAGAAACAGTACATCAAGTTTTTTGTCATGCAAAGATCCCAAGATCAGCAGGTCTCAGGGGATAAAGGAAGTGAGGTTGCAATTCAGGTGCGTGAGTTTGTGGAGGCAACACTCCAATCTTTGTCACAGGATCTGCTCTATCTACGTGGGCTGCAGTATCAGATTCGTGTCGCCTGTCCATACTGTCAGCTAGAAAAGTGCAGTGGTCATAATCAGCAGGCATGTGCACATGTTGACTGTCGTCATCTCCTTGAGATAAGAGAAGGTGGCCCACTTTTGTGCAAAAAGAAACCTTCAAAAAAAGTTCTCACAGTCGAGGGCCTGGAAAAATGGTTCTCACTGTCAACAAGCGAGGTACTAATGAAATACAATCTCTAAGCAACACTGGTAGCATAAAATTAATTGAAGAGAAATATAACCTCGAAGGGTAATTATGTTAAAATTAAGGCACCATACGATGAGGCTTTAATCACTATCTGAAAAGATTGAACGTAGTCTTTTTAGGGATGATGTCTGGTGTAATGTGACTTATTTATTCTTCGACACGGCTTCTCCCAAGTGAAAGAGAAAATAATGGAAAAGAGGGAGTTATTACATAAATTTAAGTTGTGGTCAATAAGCATTGTCAATTTAGCATGAACTGATACTATCACTTAAGTTGATAACAGCAAAGGTGACTTTCCAAGTTCTTAATCAGTTTGCTCTTGTGAATGGCCAGCATTGAAACATCAGTCTGTGAGTTTCGTTACATTAACCTATTGATCTTATCAACTCTATTGTTAAATGTGTATTGTAATGCCCATATGCATAGCAAAGTGCATGGCGTACGTTATCTTTTGTATGTATTGCATTGATGTTCCAATCTTGGAGCAACATTGCCTTATAGGGCTTATAGCTTTAACGTGTATGACCTTGCCAATCACGATTGTATCTATTGGCCTGAAGGTCTTATAGCGATGTGCACCTTTTTTTTTTTTTTTCACTCGTCATGATTTTGTTTTGCTTCTTTAGCTTTGTATTGTGTTCTTTTTTTTTTATTTTTTTTTCTTTTATGTTTCAATTTTTGATAAATATTTTTTTATGTGCTTTATATATTTTATGTGTTTTTCCTTTCCTGTCATGTTTTTTTTTTTTGGTCTGAAGGTCTTATAGCGGTGTGCCCCTTTTTTTTTTTTTTTCACTCGTCATGATTTTGTTTTGCTTCTTTAGCTGACCTTATCTTTAATTTGATGGAATCAGGTTTTACAAATGTTGGTTCAAACGCTTTCTAGACAGCACCCTATATAAAAGTGCTATTTTGAAATATGCAATGTTGGTTTTCTTTCAGGAATTGCATTCAGCCTTTTCTGGTATAACACAACGTCATGCACAGCCTTCAATCTTAAAAGTTTCCCTCCTTTCTAATGAGTGGGGGTCATCTAAGGGTGGCTTGTCGACAATCAACAGAACGCTTGCCATACATTTGGCAAAACAACCAAACGTAGAAGTCACTATTATTGTACCTCAATTTGAGTGCGGTGAAGATGACAAGAGAGCTGCCAAGGCTCATAACATTTCCATTATGGAAGTACATCGTCGCCCTGGCTTTAGTGATCCTCTTGATTGGCTGAGCTTTCCACCAAGAAACCTTGACATTCAGGTCGTGATTGGTCATGGCGCAAAGCTTGGTAAACAAGCTCAAATCATCCAAGAGTCTCATTGTTGCAAGTGGGTTCAGGTGGTGCACACCGAACCTGAAGAGCTAGCATTGTATAAGAACTATCCTGGCGCAATTACCAAGGGAGAAGGAAAGAACAGAGCTGAAGTTGAGCTGTGCCAACTTGCAGATCTCGTTGTGGCAGTTGGGCCCAAGTTGACAGAAGCATTCTCGTCCTACTTGAGTTCATCTCATCAAGATGTCTTCCAGCTGATGCCAGGCACCTTTAAAGAGTTTTCAGATGTTGAGCATGCTACTACGCGAGCGAGTGCAAAGTTCAAGGTGTTAACCTTTGGCCGTGGTGATTTTGAAGACTTCACTCTCAAAGGATACGACATTGCCGCTCAAGCAATAGTTGAATTGAAGGACAGTTCTTACCGTCTGATCTTTGTTGGTGCACCTGATGGAAAGCAGGATGAAGTCGCGGAAATGTTATGCCAGACGGGCATTCGAAGAAACCAGTTGTTTGTCAGATCATTCTTGAAAGACAAGCAAAGATTAAAAGAGTTGTTTTTTGAAGTTGATGTGGCCATCATGCCTTCAAGAACTGAGGGTTTTGGCTTGACAGCACTGGAAGCCATGTCAGCCGGTCTTCCCATTCTGGTCAGTGGAAACTCTGGATTTGGAGAAGCACTGCGTTGTCTTCCAATGGGCGAGTCATTTGTGATTGATTCAGATGACCCCAAACAATGGGCAAAGGCAATAGCAGCTATCCATCAAAAATCTAGGGCACAGAGGCTTGAGGAAATTCAAAGACTTCGAAGAAGTTATGAAGAGAGATTCAGTTGGGAGAGACAGTGCAAATCCCTTGTTGACACGATGTGGAAGATGGTTTATGGTAAGAAATCAAATTCTTACCCTAAGTAAAGTAACGATAATTAAAATGAACAGTTTTAGGATGAGAGCTGAGTATGATCTGAAAAATTTTGTAGATTGTGGAGGATGCTGGCCGATGCGGATAACACCCTACGAGATCTGCATAATTTTGCACATCATTTGAAATCCCAATCCAATTATTGTTTTATTATCCATTCAATATAGTTCATACTTGAAAAACATGCCTACCTCGATGAATGTTAAGTTTCTCTCTTCAACTTCGTTCCAGGGCCTCTCAGTTGCCGTCCCCTTTTCTGGCGATATCCTAGACTATTGACGTCATTTTACTGGATATCGCAAACGTCTCCCAAATTCGATCATCGCTAGCTGGTTTTAAACAAATAGCCGTGGGATCGATCTGAGTCATTCTCATTATGTTCTGTTGAAACCACCGTAATTTAAAATGGTCAGTTGGTTTTTGTTTGGACCAGTGTATTATCTCCCATAGAGCGTTTTCACTCATGTGGCGAGCATCTACGCCAATTTGTTGGAACAAAATAAAGTGTTTATATAAGAAAAGAGTTCAACTCCCACAGGATTGGTTTGGAACACAAACATGGCCGCCGTTTCTTTGTTTCGGAACACTAGTATGACCGACATGACGTCATGTGAAAACGCTATATTAAACTGACGTGAAATAACCTTTCGCATTCTGGATTTTTCCTCTATCATTTGCAGGTGAACTGGTTTTCCTTGCACTTAAAAAAATCAAGCTGGAAGCGCGTAGAGAGGCCAGCAAAACTGAGCTGTCGTTGAATTTAAAGAGGATTGCTTTGGACAAAGGTTTTGTGATTTCTGACAATCAAGGGGATGGAAACTGCATGTTTTTTGCACTTTCAGAACAACTTGACCACATCAAAGGAATTAAAATCACTCATGAGGAGTTACGCCGAACTGTTGTCCAGTACCTCAAGGACAACCCTAGGCTGGTTAGTGTCTTTTTTTAGTGCCTTAAAGCTGTCAAGCTATTTATCTCATACTAGCAACTTAGGCTGAACGAAGTGGAAAAGGGAGAAAATAAAGAGGGTTTCTTTTCAATATAAATCAAATAACGGAAGCCCAAGCAGAAATGGAAACGGACTGGGGAACATTTCCTTTTTTCGCCTCGGCCGTTAAGCTTCTTTTGCGTACGTTTAAAAAAACAGACCTGTGACTTGACGGATATAGCACTTTGCCACTACGGCAGCTTTTTTCCTGCTAACTTCTCTTTTGCGTCATCCACACTATTAAACGCTTGGAGAGGCTAATGGACATATAGAGTTGGTCCTTATCGTTCTTGATTTATTTTGTTTGAAACTTTATGAGGCGGACACGTATTTTAGAGTACGACTACTAACGGTGTCTGTGGCCCAGGGGAGTACTCCCTATAATGGCCTATACGGGGAGGCTCCGCACAAAAGGGGTACCTTTTTCAGACTTCAGGTTTATGAAAGGGTAAGCGCTTTATTGGTTGATGTATATAAAAGGGTAACGAAATCTGTCATTTCGGTCTTTAAAAGGACTAAAAAGGGCTAACAAACGCATTTCATGGATGTAAAAGAAATAAGAAACCTTCCTGGTTTAGTGATTTATTCATAAAAAAGATGGTGCATTTACAGCTGAGCAGTTTCAACTTTGCATTCCTTTTAAAGGGGATGCAAAGTTCTAAACTAGGTATGTCAAAGGGGCACCATTTGTCAATAGAAGGTATACGAAAGGTGAACCTTTTCTGTCAACAATGGTGTATAAAAGGGTAAGGGGTTGGGCCTCGGAGCGGAGCCTCCCCCATATAAAATTGTTGAGCGCCCCCCCCCCTCCCCCCACGGGGTCTGTGGTGGAGAGAGCTGACTGCGTAGTTTCCTGAATAAGAACCGTCTAGAAATGAGCGTTGTCGTCTTTTTAGTAACTACAGCATTTTTCTCTTACAGCCGGATGGGACGGATCTGTTCCACTTTGTTGATGGATATTCATCTTGGAATGCTTACCTTACAACCATGATGGCAGATGGTACATGGGGTGATCATGTGATTCTCCATGGTGCTGCAAACTGCTTTGAAACATGCGTTCATGTGATAAGCAGTCTGCCGCATCACCATGACGTTATAATCTGCCCAGAGTATGATGTCACTGGTAGCAACCGGCTTGTGCTGGGTCACGTGTACGAGCTTCACTATGTTAGTCTTATTCCACTTGAAGGATGCTAAGATGTCTAATTACTCTGCAATGTAAGATTTCCAAACTCGCGTTACCAAATTCATGTCATTTAAATTGAGCAATTACACCTTTCAGTTGCCAGAGTTCTGAGTTGTCCCCTTATTTGCTGTGTTGTTAGCAAGAAACTTCTTTGTCCATTTATACTGAACGCTTCCTTTTTTCACATGTTTGCAATTCGCCAACGTTATTGTGACGGTACAAAAAGACATTTAAATATGGCTAATGCATAAGGAAAATTTTCTGTGTGAAAAAAATTCATACCCAGTCCCCTTAGGTAATATAGGTAATTCACTCTATTCTAGGATTTATTTGTGAAGGACCACATTACCTGCTGCATCCTCGGAGACCCAGGGGCATTCAGTCGGGTCGAAAGTTTTCAAGTACGGGCAAAAGAGCCCCTGGGTACCGACTCTCACCGAGCTATTTCCAAAAATTCAAGCGGATACCGGCTCCTGATTGGGCACAAAAAATGCTTTGTATTATTGTGCCCAATCGGCGAACAGTTTCTCCCGAGTTCTTTTCGTGAGTTCGTACACGACGGCCGATTGTTTCGATCACGGATTGTCTGGCTCATGCACAAAAAAATGCACGCGGTCAGGAAACTTTCAGTTTGATATAAAACCCCCATCTGATTTCAAAATACTGTCTTCCCGAAAGCTTAAGGCGCTAGTTTTCCAAAAATACAAGCTTGAGTTTACAACAGGTATTCAAGCTTGCATCGGTCACGTCTTGCGTAAATATTAGGGAGTTTTTAAGGTGACTCGACCCAGTTTTTTTGAGGGGGTACCATCCTACTTTGAAGCTCTCTGCTATCCCCACCTTTACTTTTATCGTAAGTCTAACACATAGAATGGATAACATATAGATCAATCTACAATATAACATAAAATTTTTGGCGATCGGAGTAAATGTCACGTGGTTATAATGCCACGCCCCTTTGAGGTCTGAGTCGAAAATCTGCTGTTGCCGGCATTTTTTCGTGAAAATCTCTCGGCTACACATAGTGCGCATTAGTGCCTTGCGCTGAACAGAGTTTCACCAAAATCGCAAAGACCCAATTCGAGAAATTCAGCGGTTTCCAAATTTAGGTCATAATTTATGCGAAAATGATAAGCAAACTTTACACGGATTATATCTAATAAACTATGAGATTCATCTCTTTATTTTGGGCATCGTTATAACAGATGGGTCCTTGCAAGTCAGCAAAACGCTTTAGGGCCTTGTAAATGCGCGCGATTTCGAGCAAAGCAAACATATAGAAATTATAGTTTTCGCTATTTGTTGACGTTTGTCAGCGTTTAAGAGTCCTTCTCACGAAAAAAGCATTTTCTTAAAAATTCGTAGTTTTTTTTCCTTCAAATTTTTTCAGGGCCACAATTGATTAACTAACTACCCGGACTCTGAATTTCATGGTCATTGAAAAACTGTGACATTATCTTCTATAAGCCCAAACTTGAGTAAACATTGAAGATTTTTAGCGTTTTGGCTGAGTTTGTGCTTTGGGAGTTGTCTATTGTTTCTAGTCTGTCATTATACAGCATTCTTGTTCAGCACGCGTGCAATGACCGCGCTTGGCTGACTTCCGAATGCTCACCGAGATATAATAATTTTGGTACAGTGAGACAGGCCATCGCGTGATACATAGAGGTTTAAGTCACAATTTTTAATCAATTCTCGTGCTTCTTGTGCCTTTGCAAAAAAATCAAGAAGTGCTACACACTAAATCTACTTACTATTAAAAAAATATCATTTTTTCATAGGTTTAATGCAAGCCAATAATTAAACCAACTCGTGACGGGAATATCTCGGTGAGCATTCGGAAGTCAGCCAAGCGTGGTCATTGCACGCGTGCTGAACAAGAATGCTGTATAATGACAGACTAGAAACAATAGACAACTCCCAAAGCACAAACTCAGCCAAAACGCTAAAAATCTTCAATGTTTACTCAAGTTTGGGCTTATAGAAGATAATGTCACAGTTTTTCAATGACCATGAAATTCAGAGTCCGGGTAGTTAGTTAATCAATTGTGGCCCTGAAAAAATTTGAAGGAAAAAAAACTACGAATTTTTAAGAAAATGCTTTTTTCGTGAGAAGGACTCTTAAACGCTGACAAACGTCAACAAATAGCGAAAACTATAATTTCTATATGTTTGCTTTGCTCGAAATCGCGCGCATTTACAAGGCCCTAAAGCGTTTTGCTGACTTGCAAGGCCCCATCTGTTATAACGATGCCCAAAATAAAGAGATGAATCTCATAGTTTATTAGATATAATCCGTGTAAAGTTTGCTTATCATTTTCGCATAAATTATGACCTAAATTTGGAAACCGCTGAATTTCTCGAATTGGGTCTCTGCGATTTTGGTGAAACTCTGTTCAGCGCAAGGCACTAATGCGCACTATGTGTAGCCGAGAGATTTTCACGAAAAAATGCCGGCAACAGCAGATTTTCGACTCAGACCTCAAAGGGGCGTGGGATTATAACCACGTGACATTTACTCCGATCGCTCAAAATTTTATGTTACATTGTAGATTGATCTATATGTTATCCATTCTATGTGTTAGACTTACGATAAAAGTAAAGGTGGGGATAGCAGAGAGCTTCAAAGTAGGATGGTACCCCCTCAAAAAAACTGGGTCGAGTCACCTTAAAAGATACCACGACGGCTGTCAACCACGAAAACGTCGCATGGAAAAGAGAGTTCACATTTTTTCAGTTTCTATCCTGATTATTCCAACTCGCTTACTTTGTCAAATACAAGCGAACTCTTCTGGAGCTTAATTTCTATCAACCATATCCAAGTTCATGAAGAGAGTGAATTTTGTCATTGCTTGTTTACGTCCTTGACAAAACATGAAATTAGGCATTTTCATGGGTAGTCGTGCAGTTGACGGCAAAGAAATGTACAAAGATCTTGGGCTTACCTATTCGAAAGGGAAAAGCCGGGGGGGGGGGTCTGGGGAAAGCTTTTCAGCACACAGAGCGGGAAAAAAGCAAACAAAGAAACAAACAATTTTGCAATGTCACGGGGGATACCCAGATCACTAGTGATCTGGGTATCGTCCGGGTGGATACCCTTACCTGGCGATACCCAAAACACTAACGTAATATGAGAAGGGGATACCCATATCACTATCAGGAGCCCATCACTAGTGATTTGGTACGGGGAGAGAAGACCGGCGGGGATACCCAGCGTAACCCTCGCGGCAGCTCTCGGCAGGCCACAGGTAGCCCAAGCTCGAAATATGAGCATCGGCGAGAATCGGCATTGTTGCGTAACATTCAAAATATAAGGATTTGTATGGGAAAAAAACCTATCGTTTCCGTAACCTACGAAAATGAAAGGATTTCAATAAAAAAAAGCAAACCTTGATATAGAGAGAAAACCGTTTACATAAAAACCCATTTCATTTTCGTAGGTTACGGAAACGATAGGTTTTTTCCCATTCAAATCCTTATATTTTGAATGTTACGCAACAATGCCGATGCTCATATTTCGAGCTTGGGCTACCTGTGGGAAGGCCTAGCACTCGGGAGAGAGACCCTGGGAACAAGCTTGTTGGAAGAATGTCTGGAGCTGAGCCAGCAGCCAGCAGCCAGCAGAGGATCCGGAGAGCAAAAGAGGGTGTGATTTTTGCCATAAACAAGAGGATATTCAAAAGCTTTCTCCTTTAGATCAACAGACTTGTATCTGTAAAGGTAAGTTTGATACTAAATACGGTATTTTCACACCACACGCGCTGCCTGTTAAATAGAGTCACTACTAAAAAAGCATTCTTTAGTAAGCCCGGAAGTTCGGAACGTTTCATTACGACCAAAAATAATCTTTAGTTTAATGTCGCTGCAGAAGTCTCAGTCTAAAAGAGTGTGTACCTAAGCGCGTTTTCAAGATTTTAGAACGCAGAACCATGCTGCTCTGAGTGGTTAGCACGCTAGCGCACTTGTCATCGCAAACAGTTGGTCAGCTGAGTGACGACTCAGTCAATTGCAAGCATGCTCATCCCCCCTCTGGGGCATTTGTCATTTTTTTTTGGCCAGGCAGTTCATACAAAAACCCCATGGTGTGGCTTAAAAAAGTGTGCAAATGTCCCACCCTCCTAGAGTCCATTTTCCAGTAAATAAGCTGTAAATGCCATATTTATTTTATTCAAAAGGGACTCTATAGACTGTTTCACATGACGTCACGGCGGCCATATTGGTGTCCCAAAAGAATGAGGTCAGCACTTGTTAACATCCGTTGAAAGGCCTTCTTATCTTCGGTCGGATTTTGTAAACGTATGACGTCTCGCTTACCTATGCTTTTGCTTCGATCGTCCACTCTGATCTGTCTGATGATCTGACGGTTTGTTTCGAGGTCTTGTCTTACTTTTTCGATCATTCCTCGATTGATTCAACCAAGAAGATGCCACTGCATCCATTTGGAAATGATGTTTTAATGTTTCGCCTCGATCAAGCCTCTTAGCGAATCGAAAAGGTCCTTTTAGTGGATGTTACTGAGTAACATCCCTTGAATGGTCCCGGATGGAATGGCATTCAAGAAGAATTACACAAACAAGCAAATAAAACTCAAATGAACCGCTGCCCCATTTAAGAACTTTCTCAAAATATTGGCGGGAATAATAGAAAATTATCCATTTGGTACTGTCTGTCTCTATCGAATAATAATGACCAATAATGAATGCTTGCAACAACAACAAGAAGAACAACTTTATTTCAGTACCCTACATTGATTTACATGATACAAAAAAATAGATATAATTATGGAAAGAGTACAGGGTGCCCATAATAACCATTAAGGGCTAAAAAGATAGGTCAGCCTTACTAAGGTTATTAATAAATCATGATAAATGATTATATTAAAGTGTCAGGGAACACACACCACACACAGCTACACAAAACATTCACAAAAGAAAAAAAAACTAGTGGAAAAGGAAAGACAAATAAAGGAAAGCCAAAGCTTGTACTAAGCTGTCTGATAATTTCCCAGGGG